GGATCCAGCCTGAGGTCACACTCTATACAGGGAAATGCAGCGTGGGGGCTGATTTCCACAGAGCAACAGCCGCCCTGTTACTGCGTTAGTCATCTGTCCCGAACAGGGTGGGAAGGGCAAGGGAAACATCTGGAGAAGGCCAGACCAGCAGTTTAGCGGCAAGAAAAAAGCGTCACAGCGCCAGGGTGACTGCAATAACAAGGAGCGGTCAGCTGCAGCCTGGACTACACAGCAAGTTCCAGGTCAGCCTCAAATATGCAGTGAAACCCTGCCGCAAAGAAAAATTAAAGCAAAACCAGGTCTCAAGGTCAACCAGGATGGTGGTTCTGCTGGCTTGTACCTTGTCCCCATCTGCCTAGTGGGGTGGGCAGACCCCTGGTGACTGCCTGGGTCTGGCCCAGGAGTCAGGGCCAGGGACAGATTCAAAGGAAAGAGGAAGCCACTGTGCCAGGGAGAGAAGTCACACCTACCCCACCCCACCCTCCATGATGCTGCTCAAACAATCCCAAATAGGGGTAGGCCACTGGATCACAATTGAGAGATGAAGCTTGTTCATCCTAATGACACCTTCTGAGCGTGGCCACAACCCTTCCCAGCAGCCCCCAGGCTCCACTCCAGACCTGGGGTTCAAGCAGGGGCCTGAGTGGGCCTTGGCTGCTTCTTGAAAACCAGGTCACACCTAGCTCATGCCTGTCATCCCAGCTCTCAGGGAGCAGAGGCAGGAGAATCGAGAGTTTAAATAGTTGTGACCAGCCAGGAAGAGAACCTCTGCCCTCAGACTTCCACACCCATGAGCTTCCCTGGGCCTGCCCTCTCCAAAAATTAAAAGATAAAACAGTGCACAGGCCGGGCAGGAACTGACAAAGCCTCTCAGGGGGCAGTTAGCAGCCTGGTCATGGTCACAGTTTTAGACTATGATGAGAGAAGACAACTGGTCCCAGCTGACAAACCCACAGCCGTGGCTTTTCCAGAGGACCAGCCCGATTTATTTCTGGACCACAGGCTTCACGGCTGGGACCGGGTCAGGGAGGAGGCAAATGTGGGGGTCCACACAGAATGGTGCTGCCTCCTCCTCTCCCAGTACAGACCAACCAGCACTCGAGGGGATCAAAAGCAGGTCTCCCCATCCAAAACGCTCTGTGACAGACTCCCTAACCTCATTCAAAAATTTTTGCTGCTTTCTTTTTCCTCTTCCAGTTATTTGGGGTCATCCCCCTGTGGTATAAGCCACATCCACAGCAGGGGTCCAGTAGAGCCCAAGTGTCCCTATCTGACCCCACAGGTAACAAAAGGAACTAACTTCCACTGTCCCATCTAGGTCCTAGGAGGCAGAAGAGCAAGCCTGGCACCCACTGGGCGTTCCTGGGTAGGAGCAGCGGTGGTAAGCGCTAACAGTGGGGAGCACCTTGGAACTGTCCCAGCTACCACACCAACACTGGTGTCACGCAGGAAGATGGCACTCCAGATGGGAAGGCGTTCTGATCGAGTGTCATATGTGCCATGTTTTTTTGTTTTGAGAGCTTCCTCTCTGAGGGCTGGAAATGCAGCTCAGCAATAATGTGCTTGCCTAGCACACACTAGCCACCGAGTTCCATCTCTGGTATGGGAGGAGTGGGGGTAGATTTCCTCTTTGGATATTTCGAAAGTCTCCAGTAAAGCGGCTCACACTGGAGAGTGCCTCACAGAGAAGTGACTTGCAGGGGTCCCTGGGGTAGCTACAGCCACAGCACAGGAAGCAAGGTCCTACAGCAACCCCAGCCCTGCCCTTGTGAAAGCAGCCATTGAGAATTACACCAAGCCTTTACAGATGGCATCTTACCAACCTATAGAGCCAATCTCTATCATCATGGCCCTTGCAGGGACGTGGTGAAAAGGTTAAGGAACCAACATTGTGCCAGCGTACCTTCTTCCAGGGCACGGGCAGTACCAAGCAAGGCTGCCAGGGAGAGCTGCAGAGCCACTGGGTGACCCGAGCCTGGCTTAAGGACCAAGGATGCTTCCCAGGTGCAGCTCTTGGGCCTCCAGAGGGCTGTAAAGGATCAGCACCCACAGTCAGATGTCTAAGTTCTAAGCTCTTGGGCAGTTCTTCTAAGGCAGAGGACTTCTTTCATGGTGCTGTCAACATGTCCTTCCACCTCTTCTGTTCACTGACCTACAAACATTCACACACACACACACACACACACACACACACACACACACACACACACACACACTCCCCCAGGTCTTCCTCCATATTCTCATGTCATCTCCCACATCAGCCCTGGGAAGGTGTAAGTTACCTCCATTTTAAAGACTAGTAAACTGAGACACTCAAGAGTTTGCCTGCCTAGCACACTTGAGAAAGGGATCTGCTCCATGCCACTTCTCAGCCTCCTCCTCTCAAGTCAGCCTGCTCTTCCCAAGTCAGACTCTCTCGGTAACAGGGGCCCACCCACCACTTGCTCCCTCCGCCCTTGCGTCCTAGAATTACTGTGAATACAGTACTTCCCCACCAGTACCCAAAACTGAGATGTCACCCCTGATCTTCTCTGCCTCGCCACGTGGGCTTTGCACAGACTTACTGCCTCAGCAGCTCAGGCCAGGAAATGCCTCCAGGAGTGGCCATTAGAGCCTTTGGGACGAGGAGCAGAAGTGGCTGCCCTAGTTCTCTGTCGGTGAGCACGCTGTGAGGTCCAGGGACTAGAGGAACAGAGGGGCCAGCTGCGTGGACTTTTCCTTTGCCCACCCTAAGTGCCCGCCTTCCTGCCCTCTCCAACTCCATAAAAAAGCCAGGTCAATGCGTTAGCAGGAAGGCAGCCAGGTGGGCGTGAGGCGATGCTTGTGGAAAAGATGACTTCTGAAAGTAAATTAAGGTTCCCATGCAGATCAAGGGAAAGCACGTCCAAGTCTCCCGGGAGCACTGTTCTTGGCAGAAAACAGGCCCACCTGGACTTGCAGGCTGAGCCAGCTCCACTAAGCAAGATTCTTTGAGGCCAAGAGGGAAGCAAGGATATGAACTGGAAAGAAAGGGGGGAAAAAAATCAAAGAAGCTTCTCCCTGTAGCTTGTTTTGTTCTTGCGGTTCCTGTTTTTTGTTTTGATTTGTTTTAATCTGTCCCCTTAGTCCACCACCACCCCTAAAACATAGCCCATATGTAACCACCACCCTGGCTGAACGGCCGAACAGAAAAGGGGTGATGGGGATGGGAAAAGGAAGGAGTTAAGGGGTCAGAGGAGAGCATTCCATCCCACACCCAGTGCCTGGTCTGCCGGGACCAGGAAGGAGGGGAAGGATACCAAAGAGGAAAAGAGAAGGCAAAACAAGGCCTGAGCTGCAGCACATGACTCCACACCCAGCAGCCAAACAGCAAGTCATGAGGAAAGAGGAGAGAAGTCAGGGGAGGGGGATGAAGTCAGGCCAGAGCCCTGGAATGTGCCCAGTCCTATCCCACCCCAGCCACAGCAGGCCAGCCGGGAAAGCCCTCCCCTATTCATGTTTGGGGGGCGGGGATCATTTAAGGAAGGTTGGACCCTTTTCATTTTCTTTCTTCTTCTTTTTTTTTTTTTTTTTTTTTTTGGTTTTTCGAGACAGGGTTTCTCTGTGCGGCTTTGCGCCTGTCCTGGATCTCCCTCTGTAGACCAGGCTGGCCTTGAACTCACAGAGATCCGCCTGGCTTTGCCTCCCGAGTGCTGGGATTAAAGGCGTGTGCCACCACCGCCCGGCTGGTGGGACCCTTTTCTATCCAAATCCTGCTTCCCTCTTCCTCTGTACCTGGCTCAAGGCTCACCCCTCTCCAGCAAGCCTTCCTCAATTTACTCAAAACCAGCAAGCCTTTTCAGCAGCTCTCCTACGCAGGATAGATACCACCTTGCACCCATTCCCTTACAGACCCTCCCCCACCAGGAGGCTTAGAAATTAACTGCTCCTGGAGGCCCCAGGAGGTGGTCAGCCCTGGAGACTGACTTCCAGATGGTCACAGGCCCAAACAGGAAAAGGTACTCCAAGTCTTAGGTCTTTTGTTTGTGTTTTGTTTTTCAAGACAGGGTTCCTCTGTGTAGCCCAGGCTGGCCTCAAACTCACAAAGATCTGCCTGTCTCTGCCTCCCAAGTGTTGGGATTAAAAAAAATGTGTACCACCACTGCCCAGCCAAGTCTTAGGTCTTAATCTCAACTCTGGGAAGGCCAAACCCTGCCAAAATAAATGATTAAAACACCCTATCCTTACAGCCAGGTTTTGGTGGCGCACACCTTTGAGCCCAGCATTGGGGAGGCAGAGGCAGGAGGTACGCTTGAGTTCAAGGGCAGCCTGGTCTACACAGCAAATTCCAGGACAGCCAGGGCTCCACAGAGAGATCCTGTCTCAAAACTAACCAACAAAAACCCCTCCTGTCCTTTCTAGGGAAAATATCCTGGAGAATGGCTAGGTGTTATAACCATGCCACTGCCTCACCAGGGACAAGCTGACCCAGGGGTCTCCTTCCTAAGCCAAGGAGGTCGCCCAGTTCTCTCAGTTCTGGTACCCTGGACACAGAGTCAGGGAGCGTGACCAGATGGTAAAGGGCATCCCTGTACATTCAAGACACATGTGTTCTGTGTAACCTTAGGTTTTGCTGAGGCGTCTCCCTTCAATTTTGCCCTAGAAGATAACAACCTCACCTTGCTGCGTCTACAAGGTTAGCCAATCTCTCCACTCCCCTACAGGCCGGGCACCTCTTTGAGGCAGGCCCTGAAGCCCTGAAATTTCCCTTCTTGAATTCGCACAGCCTCAGAATCCCATTCCGAACTTTCCTTGACCATGTACTCCTAACGATTGGTCACTATGCCAACTCCATCAGGCCTTCCAGGCCCACCAGGCTGTTTGGGAGACAATCGGAGGGCCCCCCAAATGAGAAGTAACAACTAATGTGTCGGTTTGTGTGTGTCCTTGAGCGCGAGGTCGGGGTCCCAATGTCCCACCAGCCCCGCCCGGTTAGACCTTCAACCGTTCTGCACACCCCCCTCCCAGCGCCCCAGACTCACTGCGTGTGCTGGGCGCGGCCTGCGCGGAAGACCTCATCCAGAGCCACGGTGGCCCGGCCCAGAAACTTGTCCACACCGATGAGCGAGCGGTGCATGGTGGTGAGCACCAGCTCGCAGGCAGCATTGGGGCCCGAGGCCCAGGGCGCAGGGGCCCCATCTGCCTCCTGTGCCCGCAGCAGGCCGTCCAGGGCGCCGGGCGGCAGCTCGAACGAGCACTCCTCGCACCATTCCGGGCAGCCTTGCGTCTTCTCCACCACCGAGGTGCTGTACTTCTCGCGGCCCACCTGGATCACCGTGTACGCGTCGCTGGTGCTGCCGGCGCCTGAGCTCTTGCCCCTCAACCCGCTAGCCCGTAGCACAGTCACCTGGACGTGCGTGGGCAGCCAGCGGGAGGACCCGGCCGCCGGTTCGGCGTCGCGCACCAGGGCCATGTCTGACCCGGGGACAGAGTGACAGAGGTGGCAGCCGCGGGATGCTGTTAGCAGCCGGCTCCCGGCGCTGCCTGCAGCGAACCGGACCGCCGCAGCCGCGGGCTGGCCTGGGCCAAGCGGGCCGCCGCCTCCCCGCCGCCCCGCCTCCCGGGCGGCCGCCCCCCCCACCTCGACGTCACGCCCCGCCTAGGCTCCGCCCAGACCCCGCCCCCTGGTTTCACCAGCCTTTAGCTGCCTTGGAGCTTTAGAAGCCCAGAGAGGGGCGCGGCCTCTGCAAAGATGTAGGCGGGGCACCCTCACGGGCCCAGCCCCTCTGGCCGACCCTCAAGCTAATACTGCAGTACTAAAAGGTGACTGGAGCGGAAGGGGCGCGGCCTCTGCATGGATTTGGGGCAGGGATTAAGAGCTGGCCACGCCTTATTCACGACCGGATTCGCGTGTGCACAGTGCGGAGCTGCAAGAGAAGAAACGGAGGGGTCAACCGGTGAAGGCGGCTCACAGCCTCTGCAGAGAGGTAGGCGTGATTACTATGGCCCCGCCCCGTTTTGGCAGCGACCCCAAACTGGAAAATTGGACCTCTGCACTACTACCCGCGGCTCTCTACCTGGGCAGTCCCAGCTTTCCCGGCTAGCTCCTCTATTCCCGAAAGCCCTCGCCGCTCGGAAGACCACCCTCAGCGAGTGTTTGAGGATAGATGCCGACTCCGGAGACCCCTCAAATCACATATGCTCTCCCATCCTTCATCCCACCGCTCCACGTGACCGCCAGGCACCACAGCCTCCGCTGACACTGCAGTTGAGGATCTGTGATGGCTTGGAGCAGCCGCCTTCGTGCTGAGAAGTCACTGACTGGAGTGGGGCTCCAAACGAACAACCTCCCCCCCCCACCCCGAAACAGGGTCTTTCTATGCAGTCCAGGATACCCTGGAATTCGCTATATAGATTAGGGTTCGAACTCAGATTCTCTTGCCTCCACCTTCCGAGTGCTGGGATTAATGGCGGACTCCCCCACGACAGATTTTTTTTTCTTTTTGAGCCACCACACTGTTTTGATTTTTTTTTTTTCTTTTTTTAGATCAGGGGCCCTGCACAATCTCTAACTCACGCCCAGCCGAATTTAAAACATTTTTGTGTGGCCTGGTGGGGTGGTGCACACCTTTAATCCTAGTCCTTTGGAAGTAGAGGCATAGCCGGGCGGTGGTGACACACGCACGCCTTTAATCTCAGCACTCGGGAGGCAGAGGCAGGCGGATCTCTGTGAGTTCGAGGCCAGCCTGGTCTCCAAAGCCAGTTCCAGGAAAGGCACAAAGCTACACAGAGAAACCCTGTCTGGGAAAAAAAAAGAAAGAAAAAAAAAGGAAGTAGAATGCAGGAAGATCTCTGTGATTTTGAGGCTAGTCTGGTCTGCATAAGGAGTTCTAGGCCAACCAGGACTGCCAAGTGAGATCTTGTCAAGCTAGATGTGGTAGCGCACGACTTGAATCTCAGCACTTGCCCTTGGGAGGCAGAGGCAGGCAGATCTTTTGAGTGTGAGGCCAGCCTGGTCTATATAGTTCCAGGCCAGCCAGTTCCAGGCCGCATGGTGAGACCTTGTCCAAACAAACAACAACAACAACAACAAAAACCTCACAAACTTTTTATGTTAGTTATATTTCACACAGGGCCTTACTTGTAGTAGGAAAGCATTCTACTCCAGAGCTAATATTCAGCATCTGAATCCATTGATAAAGGCCTACTGTGCACTGGGTCCTGAGTACTACCAGCATACTTGGTTCATTATAAAGATAATGGTTAATAATTATGGATGCTGAATTTCAGCAGGAGTTGGCCAACACTGACTCATGAGCTGTGTGTTTATTACCTCACGTCATTTTCAGAGCCACCCTGTATATGAATTTTGGTTTTCCAGAAGACAGAATTATAGGTTAGATAAATTTGCCTAAGGTTCATAACAAAGAAGGCATGGTAACACAGCCTGTAACCCTGGGACTCTGGAGGCAAATTCAAGGCCAGCCTGGGCTACATGGTGAGCCTTTACTTTTTGCTGTTGTTAACTTTCAGAGCCTACACAAATTAGGTTTGTTTTGTTTTTTGGAGACAGGCTTTCTCTGTGTAGCCTTGGCTGTCCTGGAACTCTCTCTGTAGAGTTCAGGCTGGCCTTGAACTCACAGAGATCTGCTTGTCCCTGCCTCACACATGCTGTAATTAAAGGCACGGGTGCCACCACCACCTAGCCTAGAATCTTTTTCACCAATGTGTACATAACATACTCCGGTCAAAAAACAAACAAAAAAGGAGGTGCCAAGGTGGCCCTATTGCCACCAAAGTTGATGACAAGTTTTATCCTCAGGACCCACATGATAGAAGGAGAGAGCCAACTCCAGCATGTTGTTCTCAGACCTCCACAGATACACTAACTGTAGCACACCCTCTCCCACCAAAAATAATAAAATTTAAAAAGCATCAGAAGAGATTTAGAAAGCTCTCCATATCTAGGAATATCTCTTTTAACTTACTCTATCCCTCACCCACCCACCCCCGTCTGTCTCTCTGTCTCTTTGTCTCTCTCTGTATCCCTCTGTGTATATGTGTCTGTGTGTGTGTAACAGTCAGAAGATAATCCACAGGACTCAGTTCTCCTCACAGGATTGACTCAGGTCATTTGGCTCCACAGCAAGCACGCACATGCTTCACCTGCCGAATCATCCTGTCCGATCATACTTACTCTTAAATTTTTATTTGAGACAGGGTCTTACCACATAACTCTGGTGGGCCTCAAACACACAAGAATTAGCCTACTTCTGCCTCCCAAGTTCTGGTACTAAAGATATTTCCCACCATGCCAGACCCTTTATCAACTTATTTTTATGTTGAGTCCTGTGTAGCACAGGCTGGCCTTGAAATCACCATAGACTGGCCTTGAACTCCTTCCTCATCCTCCTGCCTCTTCTTCCAAAGTGCTGGGATGCCCGGCTTCAATCCAGACATACTTGTGTTTGTTTCTGTTAAACAGGATCTCATGTACCTCTCAGGGTAGCCTTGAATATGAAACGTAGCCAAGAATAACCTTTAACCCATGATCCTTCTGCTTCCATCTTCCTAAGGCTGGGATTACAGGCTTACGCCACCACCTCCCATGGTATGCTGGAAATCGACCCCAGGGCTTCACTCTGGCTCTCTCCAGCTAAGCTACACACCTCATAAAGCTATTTGTGTTCCTGGGCCTTGGGGATGACTCCACCTAGCTGTAAAAATTGCTTCTGTGGCTATAGCTAAATTTGACACCGGCTGTTATCTATTGCCTTCCTGCTAAGACAGATACAGACTTTATCTGGCTAATATCCACTCTCCTCCCTCAGTCCTATTAGTTCTATTATTGTTTTCCTTCCTTTATTAGGAGGTTCACGGTGCTTTATTTCTTATATAGCTCCCAAATTTCTTCTTGCCAGGTCACATACTCTCTACCAGGAACACAAAAGGGGGGATCAGCAGGGAAAGGAGACTCTTGGGGGCCACTCCACCACAGCCCATTTGGTCAGCTTCCCACAGCAGGCGTGTGTGTGTGTGTGTGTGTGTGTGTGTGTGTGTGTGTGTGTGCGCGCGCGCGCGCGCGGCCTCCAGAGTCAATCCTCACACACATTTTGGATAGGGTCTCTGTTGTTTTCTCCTAGACTGAGTACACCGAGCTGGCCCTTGAGCTCCTGGAATTCTCCTTTCTCCACCGTTCATCTCACAATGAAAGTGCTGGAAGTACCAATGTATGCTTTCTACCACAACCAGCTTTATGTGGGTCCTAGGGATTTAAACTCAGGGCCATCTCCACTGTTGGGGTGGGAGTAGGCTGCTTGCCTACATGAACCAGACATGCGTGAAGCCCTGGTTTCATCTCAACACCACATAAACCGGTGAGGGGGAACACGCCAGCACTTGGGAGATGGAAGCAGCAGAATCAGAAGTTCGTGGTCACCTCTTGGCTACACAGTGAATATCCTTGGCTACACAGTAAGTATCCTTAGCTACACAGTGAATTTAAGCCCAACCTAAGTTACATGAGACCTTGTCCAAAAAAAAAAAATTATTTGTAAAGTACATAAACTATAAAGAAAAATAAAAGTACCACCCAGAAATCAACACTGCCAGCAATTTGCTGTGTTTCTAATCTTTGCACTGTCTGCATACAATTTGAGGGCCCTAGAGAGTAAAGGTTAAACCTGTGGGTTTGGGAATCTCCTGTTTACCTTCTGTGTTATCTCCCTTGCCTCCCACCCCCACCCCCTGAAGACAACTTTGAGAGTGAGGTAAGTTCTCTTGCTTCTCTCAGTTCACTGATGGGGAAACTCAAGCAGAGAGAGCTTAGACTATTTCCCTGAAGTCATCAACTGGAAAATTGCAAACTGCAGTTAAAACAGTTGTAGTGATTTTATTGCCCATGACACTCTGGCTTGTTGGCCATCTAAATGCTACAAACTTTTGTAGGCTTTAGTTGTTTTGTTTTCATTTTTAGAAACAGGATCCAGTAACCCAGGTATTAGTCAATGTTCTATTGCTATGAAGAGACACTGTGACCAAGGCAACATTTCAGATGTGTGTGTGGTGGGGGGACTTCTAGATAGGGAGACAGGGTTTCTCTGTGTAGTCCTGGCTGTCCTAGAACTTGTTTTATAAACCAGGATAGCTTTGAATTCAACATAGATTGTCTGCCTCCCAAGTGCTGGGACTTAGCCATCATGCCTGACTAAGGTAACTCTTTTGAAAGAAAGCATTTAATTGGGGCTTGTTTACAGTTTCAGCAGTTTAGTCCATTATCATCGTGGTAGGGTGCTGTGGATATCTGTATGATGTGAATGTGTTGCTCTGATTGGTTAATAAATAAAGTGCTGATTGGCTAGTAGCCAGGCAGAAAGTATAGGTGGGACAAAGAGAAAGGAAAATTCTGGGAACAGGAGGGCTCAGTCAAGAGATGCTGCCAGCCGCTGCCATGAGAAGCAAGATGTAAAGACAGAACTAGAAAAAGGTACCAAGCCACGTGGCTAAACATAAATAAAAATTATGGGTTAATTTAAGTGTAAGAGCTAGTCAGTAATAAGCTTGAGCAAATGGTCATACAGTTCGTAAATAATATAATCCTCTGTGTGCTTAT